TGGGACAGCAATAAAAACATGAGTGGCTTTATAACCCCTCAGTTCTCTATCCAAAGATATAACCTTAGGCTCCGTTCACACCAATGGGATTTATAGTGCGTTTTTGGAAAGGGTCAGGGACTTTTTTAAAAGCAAAAAGTAGCATTTTTTCTACAATAAAGTTCAATGGAGAATCTGCTGAAATGCATGGTAGTGCGTTTTTGCCGTGTTTTGCATTTGTATTCAGCCCAGCAAAAAAAATTCCACTTTAAAAAAAAAAAGGGTTGAGTGAAATGCATCAAAAATGCGTCAAAAACTCTCAAAACGAACTGCGAAAAGCACTGCAAAATGGACAAAAAAAAAACTACAGAGGTGTGAACAGAGCCTCAGATACACTCTGATGACCTGAAGAATGCTGCAAAAAAAAAAATGAATCCCACGATATTTACCTCTCTTTACAGATGAAATCAAATGAAAATTATTCCTCAAATTTCTCTCCTCAGAATAGCAGTAGATGCACACTCTACAACAGACTGTACACAACTGACACTCCTCTGCACAGGTGATCCTTATAGGGCAGTGGGCACTATGACATCACTTTTCAACAAAACTTTATTTAAAACAAGCATAGCTGACACTGCATAAGGCTCTTTAGCTGAAGTCATGTGACTGCACATTTTCAAATTTGAATTGACTCAGCTGAAAATAACTGTCAGTATGACATCACTTTTCAACAAAGCTTTATTTAAAACAAGCATAGCTCATGCTGCATAGGGCTCTTTAGCTGAAGTCATGTGACTGCACATTTCAAATTTGAATTGATTCAGCTGAAAATAACTGTCAGTATGACGTCACTTTTCAACAAAACTTTATTTAAAACAAGCATAGCTGACGCTGCATAAGGCTCTTTAGCTGAACTGCACATTTTCAAATTTGAATTGACTCAGCTGAAAATAACTGTCAGATTTTTTTTTTTTTTTTTATTAAAACAAGCTGCCATTTTGGCCTCTGTTTGATCTGCTGTTGCCAAGGTGTGATGTACATTTGATCAGATATGACACGGTTCACAAATACACAAACAAACGTGACATTTATCGTACACAGATTGCCTTGATTGTGACTGTTTTGGGAAACCATTAAGGCTAGGTCACATCTGTGCGGGTGGTGCCGCCGCGAATCCGAATGAAAATCTGTGCAGCTGCACCCCCCGCACAGAGAAATGCGGAACCGCGGGCGGGTGATATTAGTTCTAATGGCACGCCGCCCGCACTGGAAGACGCAACTGTACTGGGAGCCGAGGTTCCTGTGCGGGCTGAGTTTTCAGAAGAAGTGCAGGGACTTCCTCTCTGTGTGTCACAGGGCATGGGAGTCCATTCAAATGAATGGGCTCTCGTGCCCACGCAAAACGCGGCCGCATATATGTGAACCGGGGCTAAAGGGATGATAGCTGACTGGCATTACTGTAGAATGGGGGAGGGGGGGGGGATAATTAAACCAACTGAGGTGAGAAGCTGATTGGCTCCCATGCACAGCTGCACCAGATTCTGAGTGCTCCAGTTTTAGTAAGTCCACCCTATAGTGAGAGCAAATCCCCCTCCCCCCTGGGACAGCAATAAAAACATGAGTGGCTTTATAACCCCTCAGTTCTCTATCCAAAGATATAACCTTAGGCTCCGTTCACACCAATGGGATTTTTAGTGCTTTTTGCAGAAACGCACTACGGTCCATTTAACATGGTTTCCTATGGAACGTGTTCACATCGATGCTTTTTTGAGCCGCTGCGTTTTTGGAAAGGGTCAGGGACTTTTTTAAAAGCAAAAAGTAGCGTTTTTGCTACAAAAAAGTTCAATAGAGAATCTGCTGAAATGCATGGTAGTTTTAAAAAAAAGGGTTGAACAAAACACATCAAAAATGCATAAAAAATGCATCAAAAACTCAAAACGAACTGCGGAAAAAAGCACTGCAAAATGGACAAAAAAACAAAACTACATACAGTTGTGGCCAAAATTATTCAACCCCACTGAAATTGCCTTGTTTTGGCCAGTTTGACATTGCTTTTGATCATTCAGTCATCTTGCTTACATTTACTGATTAAAGAACATAGGCACTTGTAGGTCAGACAAATATCAACATAAACAGTTTTTAATGAAATAACCTACAAATGTCTTTTCTGTGCTCACAGCATTTTCAGTTTTATTCAACCCCCTCTGCTCAGTGACATTCAATCTTAGTACTTAGTACAGATCCTTTTACAGTTGATAACAGCTTTTAAACGTGAAGCATAGCTTGACACAAGTGTCTTGCAGCGATCTACGGGTATCTTCATAATTCGCATTCTTCATGGGCAAAGGCCTCCAGTTCAGTCACATTCTTAGGCTTGCGCACTGCAACTGCTTTCTTTAAGTCCCACCAGAGGTTCTCAATCGGATTTAAGTCTGGTTATGACTTGCGATGGCCACTCCAAAATGTTCCAAGCCTTTCCTCTGCAACCATGCTCTAGTGGACTTGGAGGTATGCTTGGGATTCATTGTCCTGTTGACAGGTCCAACGTCTCCCAAGCTCTCAGGTGTGTGACGGACTGCATCACGTTTCCATCCAATATCTGCTTGGTACTGAAGAGAATTCATGGTTACCTTGCATCACGCTGGGAAGCTTCCCTGTACCTGCAGAAGCAAAAACAGCCCCAAAGCATGATTGACCCTCCACCATGCTTCACAGTAGGCAAGGTGTTCTTGTTCATCATAGGCCTTGTTCTTCACCTAAATCCTCCAAACATAGCGTTGATCCATGGGCCCAAACAGTTCTAATTTTGTTTCATCAGTCCACAGAACACTATCCCACAACTTTTGTGGTTTGTCCACATGGCTTTTGGACATACTTGCAGTCGAAACGCATCTTCTTATTCTTTGGAGACAGCAAAGGGGGGTACGCCTGGGGAGTTCTGGCACATCGGAGGCCTTTACAGATATTTTACGCAGTGTGCGTCTTATTGTCCAGGGCTGAAAACTTCTGTACCCACATCTTCTGACAAATCTTTTCTCAGTTCCTCAGCAGTCACACGGGGACTTCTCTCCACTCTACGCTTCAGGTAGCGCAAAGCAGTCGAAGTCAGCATCTTCTTTCTGCCCACGACCAGGTAGCGTTTCAACAGTGCCCTTTGCCTTGAATTTGCGAATGATGACTTCCTAAGGTGTCTCTTGGTATGATTTAACATCTTTGCAATCTTCTTATAGCCAATGCCCTTCCTGTGAAATGAGAAATCACCTCTTCTCTTGTCTTCCTGGACCATTCTCTTGCCTTCACCATGTTTGTAACCAACCAGTAAAATACTGTCTAGAAGGGAGCTGAGTATCACAGTCATTTTAAAAAAATTGGTGCTTATTATGCTTGATTGCTGCTCGGTGACATCCACAGGTGTTTTCAAGATACCTGATGGAAAGCACCTGTATGAACCTCTGTTCTTCAGAGTGGTAGTATTTAAGGGGTTGAATAATTGTGGCAATGAAAAGAAACCACATAAGAAACGATGGGCCATTTACTACTGTTTTTACATAAACAACAGCTTGATGTCATTTAGTTGCATTGCAAGCATGGGTGTAGTATACAACGTGCTTGTAGGATTTGATTCTGAATACAATTCCAAATGTAACACTATAGTCCCTAAACCCCTTTACAGCATTGGGGGTTGAATAATTTTGGCCACAACTGTAGTTATGAACAGAGCCTTAGATACACTCTGATGACCTGAAAATGCTTGTAAAAAAAAAACAAATCACAAAAATATTTACCTCTAGCAGCTTTACAGATGAAATCAAATGAAAATTATTCCTCAAATGTCTCTCCTCAGAATAGCAGTAGATGCACACTCTACAACAGACTGTACACAACTGACACTCCTCTGCACAGGTGATCCTTTATAGGACAGTGGGCACTATGACATCACTTTTCAACAAAACTTTATTTAAAACAAGCATAGCTGACACTGCATAAGGATCTTTAGCTGAAGTCATGTGACTGCACATTTCAAATTTGATTTGAATTGAATTGATTTGAAAATAACTGTCAGATTTTTTTTTTTACCCCCTTCCTGCCCAGGCCAATTTTCAGGTTTCAGCGCTCTCACATTTTGAATGACAATTGCGCGGTCATACAACATTGTACCCAAACTAAAATTTTTTGCATTTTCTTCCCACAACTAGAGCTTTCTTTTGGTGGTATTTAATCACCGCTGGGGGTTTTTATTTTTTGCTAAATTAACAAAAAAAAGACCAAAAATTTAAAAAAAAAAAAAATTTTCTTTTTTTCTGTTATAAAAGTTTGCAAATAAATAATTGTTCTTCATAAATTTAGGCCGAGATGTATTCTGCTACATGTCTTTGGTGAAAATAACCCAAATTAGTATTTATTATTTAGTCTGTTGGAAAGTTATAGAGTTCACAAACTATGGTATAGATCTGATTATTGATCAATCTTGAAGTGCTGACGGCCAATCTAATTTCTTGAGGTCCAAGAATGTCAGAACAGTACAGATATCCCCCAAATGTCAGGACAGTACAGATATCCCCAAATATCAGGACAGTACAGATATCCCCAAATGTCAGAACAGTACAGATATCCCCCAAATGTCAGAACAGTACAGATATCCCCCAAATGTCAGGAACAGTACAGATATCCCCCAAATGTCAGGACAGTACAGATATCCCCCAAATGTCAGAACGGTACAGATATCCCCCAAATGTACAACAGTACAGATATCCCCCAAATGTCAGAACGTACAGATATCCCCCAAATGTCAGGACAGTACAGATATCCCCCAAATGTCAGGACGGTACAGATATCCCCCAAATGTCAGGACAGTACAGATATCCCCCAAATGTCAGGACAGTACAGATATCCCCAAATGTCAGTACAGTACAGATATCCCCCAAATGTCAGGACGGTACAGATATCCCCCAAATGTCAGGACAGTACAGATATCCCCCAAATGTCAGAACAGTACAGATATCCCCAAAATGTCAGGACAGTACAGATATCCTCCAAATGACTCCTTTTTGCAAAGCAGACAGTCCGGCGTATTTCATAAGAGGCATGGCGAGTTTTTGAAGTTGTTATTTTTTTTTGTCATAATTTTTCGGAAATTAAGAAATAAAAAAAATGATTTTCACTATTTTTTTTTTACATATTGTCACCAGTGCAGTACAGCGTCATCATATAACTGGCATGGCGGTGAGTCAGGGAAACTGACTGGTGACAGTATGAAAAAAAAATTGATGATTTTTTAAAAAAAATTTTTAAATTTTTTTTTTTTTTACATTTTTTTTCTCTTTTTTAAAGATTTTTTTTTCATTTTTCACTATGACCAAAGTAGTATAATGTCACCATAGTAACATTGTACCACTTTGAAGAAGTGATCAGTATTTTTTTTTAAATTTTTTTTTTACACAATTTGCTTATAGCAAAGAATTACTTTGCTATAAGCAAGCATTTACCTGAAAAAAAAAATCGATTCATTCAGGGTCTTTTTTTTTTTTTGTTTAGCTGTGATTTGGCACAGTTAATCACCATGACATAGCTGGGCTGTGATTGGTCACAGCAGGTTCACATGGTACTTGCAACGGATGCCGGGTACACAGTATCTGTCATCGGCTGTGTCACAGCAGGTACACATGGTACTGCAAACGGAGCCCATACAGAGATCTGTCATCGGCCATGTCCGAGGTACGCGGCCGGTGACAGATTGCGCCGCTGCGCGGCTCTGTGGGCACGCAAACTGCGTATGCCTGAAAGGACGCCATATGGCGTCCACCGGAGGGATGAAGTGCTCGCCGGTTAACCGGTGAACCGGTTAATTAAAACAAGCTGCCATCTTAGCCTCTGTTTGATCTGCTGTTGCCAAGGTGTGATGTACATTTGATCAGATATGACACGGTTCACACAAATACACAAACAAACGTGACATTTATCGTCTACACAGATTGCCTTGATTGTGACTGTTTTGGGAAACCATTAAGGCTAGGTCACATCTGTGCGGGTGGTGCCGCCGCGAATCCGAATGAAAATCTGTGCAGCTGCACCACCCCTCACAGAGAAATGCGGACCCGCGGGTGGGTGCTATTAGTTCTAATGGCACGCCACCCGCACTGGGAAACGCAACCGTACTGGGAACCGAGGATCCCGCGCCGGCTGAGTTTTCAGAAATGCAGGGACTTCTCTGTGTGTCACAGGCACGGGAGTCTATTCAAATGAATTGGCTCTCGTGCCCACGCAAAACGCGGCCCGCATTGCCGCATAGATGTAACCAGGGCTAAAGGGATGATAGCTGACCATTGTAAGCACCCTGTCATGGTTTAATGGTTTGTCCCAACCCTCCTTTACTTTTTCTGGACAGCTTGGTGTCCTATAGAAATTTGAAAAATAACGGTCTTAATGGCATTACTGTAGGATGGGGGAGGGGGGATTATTAAACCAACTGAGGTGAGAAGCTGATTGGCTCCCATGCACAGCTGCACCAGATTCTGAGTGCTCCAGTTTTAGTAAATCCACCCTATAGCGAGAGAAAATCCCCCTCCCCCCACTGGGACAGCAATAAAAACATGAGTGGCTTTATAACCCCTCAGTTCTCTATCCAAAGATGTAACCTTAGGCTCCGTTCACGCTGTAACTTCACATTAGGGTGTCTTCAAGTGAGACATTTTAGATGAGATGCCGAGTCCGAATTGGTAAAGAAAGGTGCATTGATTACACTGCAGTGGAGATAATACAGCATACAAAGGTTCACCTCATGTGAGAAGAACTAAAGTAATACAAAATATATATCTGTCTCTTTGAGCTTAGACTATTACATATATAGACATAACGTATAGGCGTGATCGTACCAGGGATCGGGTGTGGTCATGTAGTCTTCACCCAATCAAATTCAGCCTATAGAACAGATTCCTCACCTTTCTTATCATCAGTGATACCCCACAAGGTGAGATCTTGCATGGAGCCCCAGTCCGAGGGAGACTGACAGTCATCTTTAGCCTCTTCCATTTTCTAACAGTTGCTCCAACAGTTGATCTATTTTCACCAAGCTGCTTGGCAATTGCCCCGTAGCCCTTTCCAGCCTTGCGGAGGTCCACAATTTTGTCTCTGATGTCTTTTGACAGCTCTGTGGTCTTGCCCATGGTAGTAGTTGGCGTCTGACTGACTGTGGGGTGGACAGGTGTCTTTAAAGAGCTCAGACAGGTGCTACTAAGTTAGATTAATGAGTGGAGTCGTGGACTTTTTAAAGGCACAGTAACAGGTCTTTGAGAGACAGAATTCTTGCTGTTTCTTAGGTGTTCAAATACTTATGTTCAGCAGTGCAAGACAAATACATTCTTTACAAATCATACAATGTGATTTCCTGAATTTTTTTGTTAAATTCTGTCTCTCAGAGTGGGAATGCACCTACAATGTGAATTTCAGACCCCTCCATGATTTCTAAGTGGGAGAACTTGCAAAATCGCAGGGTGTTCAAATACTTCTGTTCCTCACTGTAACTATCACCTGCTCCAATGGTTCCATTTGCTGCTTTACCCCATGTGTTGTCTGTCTGTATTGATATGCTGGCGGAGAGATAGTAGGCATATATGCTCATTAATGGGCTCACAATATTATAAAGTGCGGGGTTTTATGTTTTCTTTGAGGAAGATTTGCAGAGTGGCTTTTCAAACACAATTGTGAGCAAAGCAGTACCCCTGCACTCTTTGTGTTACTCATTCCTGACCCCAGCACTTTGTGTGGTACTTAGCCCTGACCCTGCTGCGCACTATTTACACCTGACTCCAGCACTTTGTGTGGTAGTTTATTCCTGACCCCTGAACTCTGACCACTACATACTCCTAACACCCCAGCACTTTGGGTGGGGTACTTACCCTCCTGTGCACCCTATTCCCAGCACTTTGTGTGGTACTTACTCCTGACCCCCTGAACTCTGTGTACTACATACGCCTGACCCCAGCACTTTGTGTGGGTACTTACCACTGATCTCTGTGCACTAATTGCTCCTGACCCCTGCACTCTATGTGTTAGGCCCCTTTCAAACGGGTGATCCAATCAGGTCCCCCTGTCAGTTTTTCAAGTGGAATTAATTGAACCCTCCATTCAGCTCTGTGGACTGGCGGGTGTATACAGACCTGTGTCCATTTACACTTGCCTACCTCCAATCTGATCCGGTCCACTAAAAGAAACCAGAAGGAAATCCATCCCCTCCATCTGGGCTGATCGGAGGGCAGTCGGAGTAAACAGAAAGCGGAGTCCGTGTTACAGAGCAGAGCGTGCTGTATAAACCGAGTGGACACGGCCCTGTCCTCTGCCCGCTCTGATCATAAGGGGAAGAGCAGACAGATCCCCTGCTGATCAATCTGAGTCGGCTCCGTGTGAAAGGGTCCTTATGCATCCCTCTCCCCACTCCATGCGTTACTTGCACTGCATCAGTCCTCTATTCAGGCCCCCCAAGGCATTTACTTGTTATCCCTTGAATGTCTGAGCCATAGTATGTGTGTGTCTTCAGTAAGATTGTGGGGGGGACAGGGGCGTCCCTAGGGTTGGTGTCACCCGGGGCGGTAACACTTGGTGACACCCCCTCTGATGTCCCCGCAGGATGGATCAGCCCCTCTCTCTCTTCTCTCTCTCTCTGCCTTCCCTCTCTCTGCCCCCCCCCCTCTCTCTCCCCCCTACCTACTACATGAAGCTGCAGTGCTGTCACCAGGGTCCGGGGATTACACACTGACCTGCTGTATACTCTGCCCCCCCCCCACCAGCTCTCCATCTTCAGCACCAGTGGCAGGGAAGTGGACCCGCCCCTCTGCTGAAACTCCGAGGAGGAGAGGTGTCTGAAGTGCCTGCCTCACTGTCCATCCCCTCAATGCTTGCTTATTTCAGAAGCGGCACATACAGGGACGGACTGAGCCTCTCATGGGGCCCTGTAGTGACTCGGGCCCTTGGGCAGTGCCCAGATGGTCAGCCCGCCCCTGGTAGAGCGGGTTTGGTGTCACCCCGTGGAAAAGGTATCACCCGGTGCGGCGCGCACCCCCCGCACCTGTCTAGGGACGCCCCTGGGGGTGGATTTACTAAAGGCAAATAGACTGTGCACTCTGCAAGTGCAGCTGCCCCAGAGCTTAGTAAATGAGATGAAGCTCCACTTTGCAAAGAATACCCAATCACATGCAAGAAAAAAAAAATAACAGCATTTTTGCTGGCACATGATTGGATGATGAAAGTCAGCTGAGCTTCCCCGCATTTACTAAGCCCTGGAGCAACTGCACTTGCAAAGTGCATAGTCTATTTGCCTTAAACCCCTTCATTTTTAAACAAGTTTTGATAAATAAACAATGCAATGATCCCATTATTGCGATGTAACAGCAAAATATAGTTGGGGTTGATGGAAGAAGAATATTGGGTGTTATTGTCTGCATTTGCAATCACCCCCATTTACAGTACATTCTAGTGCAGGAAGGACTATATTTGGCTGAGGAAAATACAGTTTTACTTCAGGTTAAAATTAAAAAAGAAGGTACCTAAACCCAAGAAACAAAACGTAATATATTGTGGTTCTGGTGGGGGCTGCTTTAGTTTTTTTTTCTTCCCCCCCCCCCCTTTATGTAAACTAGATAATATGACCAATCTGGGGACTGATTAATGCTGGCTATACTAAGGGGTGTTTTCAGTCAGTTTTAGGCCTCATGCACACTGGATGTTATAAAACCGCCAGTATTGTTAGCTGTAGAATTCTGCGTTCAAAACGTGAATTTTGTTCCATTCCTCAGAGTTTTGCATTAGCGTTTTCAGCATTTGC